GTGATGGGTCAGGTGAATTGAAATCAAACAAGGCATTTTCTTGAGGGGACAGGCGAATCTGGTTTTAGTTCGTGAACTGCGTACTTTTGCCCTGATTATCTATTTCTGTGTTCTTGTGTCTGTCACTCTTTCTTTTTGTACGTCTGTATATCTTTGTCTCTAACTGTATAAATCACTCTCTCTCTCCATGTCTTTATGTCTGTTAATCTGCATATCATTAAAGTTGTCTATTTCTCTTTCTATCGAGGCCTCTATAATTTTCTCCATTCATCAAGCTTCAGGTATTTACCATCTGACTGCTTGTTTCGTTTACCTGCCATTCCGGCTTTGTAATGTTTTATTGTTTTGCTTCTCTGTTTAATTGACAGACTCAGTTGCTCCTCCTCGTCTCTCAGTTTGCTTGAAATATACTGCAGAAGTTTGCCATCTTACATGAAATAGATGTGACCTTAACCTACTCGTTTAAGATGACAAGACCTTTGCTTGTGAATTAGCTCTTGTTCTTATTGAATTTTGTCTGTGGAATTATACCAATTTCATATATCAACATTCTTCACCAGCTTGAGGATACCATCCTCTCCACCCGTCCCACTGAGGGGAAAATAATTGAGGTTCTTTCTTTATCCTGCACTCTTGAAAGTCTGCACGATGGGACACTAATCGTATTTCTTCGAAATGCGGAGCAATTATCCAGTGTGGGCAGCTGGGCGACGGTGAGAGAGAGAGAGAGAAATGTGTGTGTGTGTGTGTGTGTGTGTGTGTGTGTGTGTGTGTGTGTGTGTGTGTGTGTGTGTGTGTGTGTGTGTGTGTGTGTGTGTGTGTGTGTGTGGCGCGAAATGGTGTGTGTAAAGCATATGGTGCCAAAATCTTCATTAATCTGAGATATATGTTCAATTTCTTACCACTATGAAGTCGAAGCTAAGCACTTACGATTTTTTAATGAATTTATAAGACTTTCAGAACGATTTTGATAATTTAGACATTTCTAGTAAAGTACAGTACCTAAGGATATACAATACGTTAAGTGCCCTTCACGGAGAAAATTTGCGGCTTCACAGTAGAAAAATAATTCGTAATTTATTGAAGCTCTGTTTTCCCTAGTCATTTTTATCTTATTTCCGCCAGTTAGCGAAATATTAGTACATTGTTTTATTGAGTACTGGCCGACTGCATCGTGATTTTAAGTCTGGAATTGCTTGCTTGCTTATTTATTTGCTTAAAGAAACCATACCCCCGGCCGGGATTGAACCCGCGGTCATAGAGTCTCAAAACTCCAGCCCGTCGCGTTAGCCACTAGACCAGCTAGCCACAATAAGATTCGTCCAACTAGGTATATTTCTACACCATAGGAAGGTTAGCACAGGCACCACTGTGACCACAAATGCAAGTTTTTACAGACGAATCTCCAGCTAGCGTGGCAGTGACGAACTCTAGCTCAGGTCCCTTCACTGCCGTCAACATGACTCACGAAATCGTAATGACACGATTGCAAACAAACCATACCCGGCCGGGATTGAACCCGCGGTCGTGTCATTACGATTTCGTGAGTCATTTTGCTTAAAGAGTTTGTGTTGCATTGCTGGATTCATGTGGTGTACCTCAAGACTCAGTTAATTCCTCACTTTAAAATATGCGGTAAGAAAGAACACAAAGGCACAATACCGTGACTGAAACAATACACAAATAACCCGTAGATAGGAGACAGGAACTGTATGACGGCGTTTCGGTCAGACTTGGACCATTTACTAGTCACACTAGCACACGTGTTGGTGTGTAAATACTCAAAGTCGGATCGAAACGTCTTCACACAGTTCCAGTCTACTATAAGAACAAAGGAATGGAGTGACACTGCAGAAGGCCTACTGGCCCATACAAGGCAGGTCCTTATCAAAACGACCTCTACCCAAAGCTACCCAAGAATTTACACACGTATCCAGTGTGCGGGTTGTGCATATGGATAAGGTCGTCCTTACTAGCTACACGTAACTAATACTTTTCACTACATAAACAGAGCTCACAGGAGCCATAGCCACTAAACTGATCACCAGAATGCAATTGAATATTTAACAGATATTCGTTATATCCGACTCATTTTACAAGGCGAGGTTGAGGCCTCAGCCATAATGTTATTTTATACACTAGTTCAGGAATTATGTTAAATGGATAAATTAGATTTCTTATTGTAATATTGTTTGGTTAAGAGTTACGTGGGTCAGTTTTATTTATACTGTATTGTAGTTCATCATTTTTTTAGCAGAAAATTTACGTTTTATATGTAACCCAGCTATTCTGTTTGGTAATTGGTTGGTTTGTTGATTTTTTGGGTAGTGATAGTGCTTGATACACACACACACACACGCTCTGTCTGTCTGTCTGTCTGTCTCTCTCTCTCTCCGTGAAACATATGGAACATGAAAGATATGGAGTTAAACGAAACTTTACTCAGACTTCGAAAGACACTCGGCTTTTTCTTTTTACTCTCAACGTACCCTTGACTTTCTTCGCTGCAGACATTCCAGTTTATTTCCACACAAGGAGGAAGGAACTCGCCTCTCTGAAATTTCCTTCGTCACCTGGAAGTGAGAGATGTCGAGGGGCTCTGCCGATAGCGAAGTTACACAGTTATTATTCTCGTATCCATTTACGCTGTGTATTACAGCTCCTGGGAAAAGCAATCTGCCAGAGTTGGTGTGTGATTATCTTATTGTAATTAGGGAAAGAGAGCTTTTCTCTCGGTGTTTCCTTTCCTTTATTACTATTAACTTTATTACTAGTTTTGTTCTTACTGTTGTTGCCATTTTTATTTTGGATAATGTTGCTGTTGTTTTTTTATATAAAATATCATTATTACAATTGTGCAAGACAGGTATACAATACCGACAAGATGAAAGTTAAGACACTGGTGCAACATCTGGGTATCTTTATTGTAGACGTTTCGCCATCCAGTGGCTTTATCAATACAGATTCTTGGATATAATAAGAAATACGAAGAACTATATACAAAAGATGAGGTAATCAGTCCCTCAGCCTTGGAGGTGGTGTTTAGAGCACCGTGGTTGTAGAGATTCTCTACAACCACGGTGCTCTCCACACCACCTCCAAGGCTGAGGGACTGATTACCTCATCTTTTGTATATAGTTCTTCGTATTTCTTATTATGTCCAAGAATCTGTATTGATAAAGCCACTGGATGGCGAAACGTCTACAATAAAGTTAACCAGATGTTGCACAAGTGTCTTAACTTTCATTATTACAATTAACAGGAAAATAAACAGGGTGGACAAACTCTTATGTGGCATGTCACATAGCAAGCACACACACACACACACACACACACACACACACACACCACACACACACCAGCCACACCCACCCACCCACCAGCCACGGGCGGCCAGTGAAGAGGCGGGGTCAGGAGCTGTGAATCGACCCCTGCAACAACAACTAGGTGACTACACACACACGGTAGCGAAGTCTCTCCTTTCCTGGCAAACACAATTCGTTGAGTACACAAAGCACGAGCATCAACCCGTCCTTCCCACAATCCCCACCATACCCTCCCAACCTCTCTCCAGCCCAAACAACCACAACCACTTCAACAGTTCGTCTTCTAAACCTTGCTGGAATTCCGAGCTCCTGGAGATTCTTTGAAGAAAAAAAAATCCTCTGGATACACTCTTCATTTACAGGCACGGGAAGTAGCTGAGATTGTATCCAGCAAAAGGAAAATTATTATTTTCTTCTGGCTGGCAGTCGAGTTAAATTGGATTTTTAAAGAAACATGTGTTTTTACTGTAAACAGTGCAGAGGGTTAGCGGTTAGGTAATTTGGTTAAAAGCTTAGCAACTCCACGAGGGTTATTAAGGCTGCAATCAGTCAAATATTGATTAGCTATAGTCTCACTAATATACACTGAGAGGTACACACTTCTAGGTCTATAGGCACAGAGTTACGCCCTTCTCAATGCATATACACAGAGATTCAGACTTCTTGGTCTACATACACTGAGAGAATATACTCATCTCGGTGCATATACAGTACACAGAGATAAATACCTCTCAGTGTATTTACATAGAGATACACACCACTCAGTGTATATACACCAATTGATCCCTCTCAATGTATATATCCTCTGAGACAATTCCTCACGATACCACAAACTGCGAGCTAGATTTTATTCTGTATGAAAACTGAAGTTATGTTTGTTTTCAGTAACACAAATGTCTGAATCCTTGCTTGTGTCACCAACATAAACATTTGTGCATCCTCCGCATGGTATAACACACATCACAGCCTTGGTAGTGAAAACTACATTAATTATATTAAGTTGTGGGTAACCTCATGAATTATTTGCAAAATATTCATACATACGAAAAGATTAAGACGACGTTTCGGTCCGTTTTCGACCACTATCGTCAAAACACATGATGCATGAAAAGTATTCAATACCGACAAGATGAGGAATTAGACATCTGGGCTTCTTTATATATAGAAGCTTTGCCATGACTGAATGGCGAAACGTCTACAAATAAAAATACCCAAAAGTTTCACATGCGTCTAATTCCTAACCTTAAACCATGAGACTGTAATTGACAGTTTCTGCAGTCTCATGTGTTAGAACTGGACGTTGCATAATACTTGCCTCTCGTATGTATTCAGATAACATTCTGCTGAGGATTGATTATTATTATTATTATAATCAAGGGGGAAGCACTAAACCCGTAGGATTATACAGCGCCTATGGGGGGATGGAAGGCATTTAGGCTTAATTCAGGGAACTGGAGCACAGATCCAACTGGAGCACAGATTCAATTCCCTAGATCAAGAGCCCCTCACCAGCGTCAAGGAGCCTTCCTTGAGGGGCTGAGGATTTAAACGAGTGAAAATCTTACTTTTGTACACATCAGCATTTACTTCGGCACACATGTCTAACACCTGCATGAGTTACACCTGTCCATTACATGTGTGCAGGTGGCGTGCCGGACCCATGTTGCTACTCACCTGTGCAACATGTAGATAAAGTTGAACATGCAATTGAGGACAGACATGAAGAGATCCGCAGCGCTCAGATTCATGAGGAAGTAGTTGGTGACCGTGCGCATGCGTCGGTGCGCTGTGGGAGAAAAAAAAACGAAAGTGCATTAATGCGGTGGCAGGTGCGCATGCGTCTGTGAGCTGTGAAAGGCAGAGTGGTGGAAGTGGTTTTAGTGCGGTTTGGTTTGCAATCGCGGAAATGTGCGCTTGAGGAGGCCTCTTGTGCTGTGAGGAAAATGCGTTCTAAATTTTGATATTTTCTGACGTACTGTTTGCGTCTAATTTCTAACTCATCCGAATTTGTACTCGAATTTTAAATATTCTCTATTTCATGTATACTTAATTTACGTCAGATTACATAAGCCTTCGAAACTTTATATAAACACAATTTCCAAAAAAAAAAAAAAAAAAAAAAAAAAACTAGGAGCGATGCGTTTGGCGACTAGGTAGCTGCGTTATAAAAACGTGGCAATATAAACACGTTATAAAAACGTAACGGTGAAATTTAAACGCTCGCCACATTTCGCCTGAGAATGGACTTATGAACGGACTAAACCAGTATAATTATGGCTTACATACACTTACACAGAAGCCTGACTACAGTTAAGAGGCGTGACCAAGAGCTAGAGGTCAGTTCAACAAACTTTCTTCCGCTAGTGGGCCTCACCCACATCTGACCATATCTTCACCTGCTTCACTTCTCCGCATCTTCCACTTACTCCAGTATAAAAGCACATCCTCGTGACTCTACGTAATACCCAAATAGCGTGCAGGCGAAACATCTCTCAATAAAGATACCTAGATGTTGCATGTGTTTTATTCCTTCCAACAACAACAACATAAAAAAATATACAGAAATACGAAATACTTAAAAAAAAAAAAAGTCCTTTGACGGCTTTGGTCACGAGAAGAAAATATTCAACGAAAAGCCAGCTAACTCACCGACAAACGAAAATGATACTTTTTTTGTGATCACTCTTGTGTGTAGAGAAGGAGAATAGGGCAGGAAGAGAGAGGGAGAGGGAGAGAGAGAGAGAGAGAGAGTAATGATGGAAGAAGGGAGAGAGGGAGTAATGATGGAAAGAGAGAGAGAGAGAGAGAGAGAGAGAGAGAGAGAGAGAGAGAGAGAGAGAGAGAGAGAGAGAGAGAGAGAGAGAGAGAGAGAGAGAGAGAGAGAGAGAGAGCTTTCAAATTTGCTGACGGAGCTAACAGCTCTTAGCTTATAAACAAGGTTAGGAACCATAACCTAACCTTGTAAAATACTGTGTAAAAGAGAGAGGTAGAAGGCAGCCTGGCTTAAGATAGGAAGGAAAATATGGAGGGAGTTAGAAAGGAAGAGCAAAAAAGAATGGATCGATGAAGGCTTGGAAAGAGACAGAGATTAAACGGGGAAAGAGACAGAGAAGAGATTAAAAGGGGAAAAGACTTTTGAATTCGTTTAATTGAAACTGAACAGGGAAACCAAAATAGAAGCAAGGAAGCCGGAAAACAATTACATTAAAAGGAAATAAGAGGCTTAAGTGAGGAATGAGAGACATGTAAACAGTACAAGAGTATTCGCATTATAATCATAACCAAGCTCTAAACCCGTAAGGGACGATATGGTGCTGCAGGGTAGGTTGTGCTAAAAGGCGTAATATGCCTAATCAGAGACCAGAGAGAGGCGAAGAGAAAAAAAATAAGGCAGAGTTAGGAAGGGATGTGAGGAGAGCTAAAGGAAATATAATTAAAGTTGGTGTAATAAATCTGTTGTTGACAAAAGGAAAGGTTAAAGAAGGAGTCTGTGTCAAAGAGGGAGTCTGTGTCGAAGAGGGAGTCTGTGTCAAAGAGGGAGTCTGTGTCAAAGAGGGAGTCTGTGTCAAAGAGGGAGTCTGTGTCAAAGAGGGAGTCTGTGTCAAAGAGGGAGTCTGTGTCAAAGAGGGAGTCTGTGTCAAAGAGGGAGTCTGTGTCAAAGAGGGAGTCTGTGTCAAAGAGGGAGTCTGTGTCAAAGAGGGAGTCTGTGTCAAAGAGGGAGTCTGTGTCAAAGAGGGAGTCTGTGTCAAAGAGGGAGTCTGTGTCAAAGAGGGAGTCTGTGTCAAAGAGGGAGTCTGTGTCAAAGAGGGAGTCTGTGTCAAAGAGGGAGTCTGTGTCAAAGAGGTAGTCTGTGTCAAAGAGGGAGTCTGTGTCAAAGAGGGAGTCTGTGTCAAAGAGGGAGTCTGTGTCAAAGAGGTACTGTCTGTGTCAAAGAGGGAGTCTGTGTCAAAGAGGAGTCTGTGTCAAAGAGGGAGTCTGTGTCAAAGAGGGAGTCTGTGTCAAAGAGGGAGTCTGTGTCAAAGAGGGAGTCTGTGTCAAAGAGGGAGTCTGTGTCAAAGAGGGAGTCTGTGTCAAAGAGGGAGTCTGTGTCAAAGAGGGAGTCTGTGTCAAAGGTGAGGCGGTCAGCCAGGAGGGAAGTGCTAGAGTAGGCAAGTCAGTAACCGTCTCTCACGTCTCACTGCTATATCTATGCTTTTACTGTAATTCTAGAGCCTTGGCTGTTAGAGGTGATCAAGTTCCCAGGACCGAGGCGTCTTCTAGTGTATGCTCAAGTGACCCTTTCAACCAAAGAAGAAGAAGGAAGAAAAGGAAGAAATTAAGATAACTAAAATATTAAGAAATAAATGTAGAATATTGAAACAAAAAAGGAGAATTGAAACAAAAGAATAATTAAAGACACAGAAGAAAAGGTGAAACTGATTAAAACAAAGCATAAAAAAGTCACAAGTAAATAAGAACAAAACAATAAGGACGTAAATAAATCAGAATACAAATTAAAGAATAAAATTGCAATGACGAAAAACCGGAGACAAAATGTCGAAGGATAAAACAAAAGAATTCTTTAAACTCAAGAACAAACGAGCAAAGGCACAAGAGGCACAAGATGACGAAGCGAGAGAATTTTACCCAAGAAAACCAATTTTTTTCTGCGTTTGTGCTTCCTAGTTGGATATACGCTCACAGTTCAATGCTTCAGAAAATTGAAAGAGAAGACGAATTGCCCGAAATAACAGGAAGCTTCACTTTCAGACCGAGCTGGAAGGGATGTGATGAGGGTCTTAGTTCATGACAACCCGAACTCAAGCTAGAAAAAAATTAAAAGTCACAAATACAGTGACTGGAACAATACACTGATAATCCACACATAGGTCACTGAATCTTGTAACGACGTTCCAGTCCGACCATTAACTAGTTAGGACAAAACTGAATCGTCATTAGTTTTTATTCGTTTATGTTCGGGTATCTTTACACTTTTCATGAGTTCCGAGAGTCTTTCTACTGCCGGAGCCCGGCCATAGGCCAGGCTCGTCTGGTGCTTGGTTTGTTGTATCAGCGTTCATGGTGACAGGTATACCAAAAGAAAATAGCTATCCCTGGCACAAAGGGATATATTAGACGATGAGACATATGCCAGATGTTGAGAGAGATGCTAGACAATGAAGGATGTATCAGACGATAAGAGAGGCATCAACAGTGTGGGCGGCCGATAAGAGAGGCATCAAAAGTGAGGGCGGACGATAAGAGAGGCATCAACAGTGAGAGCAGACGATAAGAGAGGCATCAACAGTGAGAGTGGACGATAGAGAGGCATCAACAGTGAGAGCGGACGATAAGAGAGGCATCAGCAGCGAGGGCGGACGATAAGAGAGGCATCAACAGTGAGGGCGGGCGATAAGAGAGGCATCAGCAGTGAGGGCGGACGATAAGAGAGGCATCAGCAGTGAGGGCGGACGATAAGAGAGGCATCAACAGTGAGAGCGGACGATAAGAGAGGCATCAACAGTGAGAGCGGACGATAAGAGAGGCATCAACAGTGAGAGCGGACGATAAGAGAGGCATCAACAGTAAGTGTGGGCGCATCACCATACCTCACTCTCATGAAGGTCTATAATTGACCATAAACATCCCCGCTATAATGTAAGAGGGCTACAGAGGAATCTTCATTGCCATAACGTTTCACAACAAAATGCCTATATCAGTTACCAGATAATTACCAAACGTGATACCGGTAAAGACTTCTCTGTAATCAGCAGGTACATACCAGTGATTTTCCCAGGAAAATCCCAGATAGACAGTGAGATTTCTGATGATGAGTATCATCCCAGAAATTAAGGACTCTCTGATACAGAGAAGAATATCACAGATGAGGAAAAGACGTCAATATAAATTGGGATGTCACGGATAACGAAGAAAACTCTAAATGAAAAATGGGAAAGAAGAAAGCGAGGAAAATCCCTTTTGCAAAGGGAGATAATTCTGAGTGAAATTTGTAGATCGTTTTAAAAAGTAAAAGGGTTTATGAATTTGTTAGAAAGTGCGTTGAAAAATTTGTTAGAAGGGACGAATGGTGAAGAACTTGACAAAAAGTACGAGGTGTGAAGGGCATATTAGAAAGTGCGGTGAGTGAAGAACATATTAGAAAGTGCGGTGGGTGAAAAACATATTAGAAAGTGCGGTGGGTGAAGAACATATTAGTGCGGTGGGTGAAGAACATATTAGTGCGGTGGGTGAAGAACATATTAGAAAGTGCGGTGAGTGAAGAACATATTAGTGCGGTGGGTGAAGAACATATTAGTGCGGTGGGTGAAGAACATATTAGAAAGTGCGGTGGGTGAAGAACATATTAGAAAGTGCGGTGGGTGAAGAACATATTAGAAAGTGCGGTAGGATGAAGAACATATTAGAAAGTGCGGTGGGTGAAGAACGTATTAGAAAGTGTAGGGAGTGAAAAACATATTAGAGAGTAAGGGAGATGAAGAAATATTAAAAGTGCGAGGTATGAAGAACATATTAGAAAGTGCAATGGTGAAGAACATTAGAAAGTGACAAACTTGTGAGAAACGTAGATAAATTTTCATTAAGATTGATAGTAATAACTGAAGAATGAAAAGTTGTCAATATTAAAAAAAAATGACGAAGGAGGTTATATTACCCAGACAGAACAACAGAACATTAGGAAAAAGGCGTTGCAATAATGGCAACAAGAAGACACGAAGACAGTATACCCAGGCAAGGAACAAACGAAAATGTTCTTATTGCTTAGTGGCTGAAGGCTCAATTTCGAGC